AAAAAAAAAAAAGAAGGAAGGAAATAATAAAGACTAGAGTAGAAACAAATAGAATCGAGAACAGAAAACAGTAGAGAAAATCAATGAAACCAGAAATTGGTTCATTGCAAAGATCAACAAAATTGCTAAACCCTTAGCTAGACTGACCAAGAAAAAAGAAGAGAATCAAATTACTAACATCAGAAAAGAAAGACCTTATATAGATAAATGGGGTTATAAGGAAATGCTATGAATAACTGTACACCAAACAAATTAGATAACTTAGAAGAGATAGACAAATTCCTAGATATAGAGACAAACCAGACTAAAGAATAGGAAGTCTGAGTAGATACATAACAAGATTGAGTTAGTGATAAAAGTACTAATAAACCTTCCCACAAAGAAAAGTCCAGGTGGCTTCACTGGTGAATGCTTCAAAACATTTAGAGAATTAACACCAACCCTTCACAAACCCCCCCAAAAGCAGAACATGTCTACACTCATTCCATGAGGCCAGTGTCATCCTGAAACCATAACCAGACAAAAACGTACAGGGGAAAAATTCTATAGACCAATATCACTTATGAGCAAAGACACAAAAATCTTCAATGAAATATAGGCAAACCAAATCCACAGCAGCTCTAAATGGTTATTCACCATCACCGAGCAGGATTTACCCCAGAAATGCAAGAGTGGCTCAACATCTGGAAGTAAATGCGACACATTAATAACGTGCTCAAATGATCGTGTGAACTGACGTGGAGAAAGCATCCGACAACTCTCACCATCCTTTCATAATGAAAAACACATAACTAGGAATAGGAAGGAACTTCCTCCACCTGATAAGGGCATTTTTGAAAAACCCACAGCTTTCCCCATCAGATCAGGAACAAGAGAAGGCTGCCTGCTTTTGCCATTTCTATGCAACACTGTTCTGGAAGTTCTAGCTGGAGCAATTAGGCAAGAAAAGAAATAAAATGCATCCAAATTTGAAAGGAAGCGGTAACACTATTCCTATTCTCAGATGACATGATCCTATATATAAAAATCCTGAAGAATCCACACACTCACAAAATTAGAGCTCATAAACAAATTCAGCAAAGTATCAGGATACAAAATCAACACACAAAAATTAGTTTTATTTTTATATGCCAGCAATAGACAACCCCAAAAGGAAATTAAGAAAATAATTCCATTCACAACATTCCAAAAGAATAAAATACCTAGGAATAATATTTACCCAGGAGGTGAAAGACTTGTATGACGACAACTACAAAACATTGCTGAAATAAATTAAAGAAGACCTAAAAAAATGGAAAGACATCCTGTGTTCATGGGTTGGAAGACTATTGCTAACATGTCAGTACTACCCAAAGTGATCTCCAGATTCAATGCAAACCCTACTAAAATTTCAATGGATCCTTTTTTTAGAAATGAAAAAGCAGGTCCTGAAATTCATATAGAATTGCAAGAGGCCCCTGAATAGCCACCATCTGGAAAAGAACAATGTTGAAGGATTCACACATTTCAATATTAAGATCTACTGCAAAGCTACAGTGATCAAAACAATGTGGTATTGGCATAAAAACAGACATAAACACTAATGGAATAGAATTGAGAGTCCAGGAATAAACCCACATATATCTGGTCAATTGATTTTCAATAATGTGCCATGACCATTTAACAGGGGAAAGAACAGTCTCTTCAACAAATGTTGCTGGAACAACTGGATATCCACATGCAAAAGAATGAAGTTGGATCCCTGCCTCACACCACATACCAACATGAACTCAAAACGGATCAGTGGCCTAAATGTAAGAGCTAAAACTACAGCACTTTTAGAAGAAAACGTAAGTGTAAATCTTCATGACCTTAGCAATGGGTTTTTAGATGTGACACCAAAAGCATGGGTAGCCAAAGGAAAACACAAACTGGACTTCATCAAAATTAAAAGCTTTTGTGATCGAAGAGCATAAGTGAAAAGACAACCACAGAATAAGAGAAAAATATTTGCAAATCATATGGCTGATGAGAGTCTAGTATCCAGTATGTATGTATCTGGTATATATTCCGTATATATTCAGTAAAACAATGGAACAATAAAGAATGGATGAAGGACATGAACGCACACGTCTCCAAAGGCACACAGATGGCAGTACGCACATGAGAAGATGCTCAGCATCACTAGCCACCGAGGAAATGCAAATGGAAACCGCAGGAGACACCACTGCACACCAACGGGCGGTCATTCACGAAAATAACAAGTGCTGGCAAGAACATGGAGAAACTGAAGCCCTTACACATTGCTGGTGGGAACGTGGCAAATTGTTTGGTGGTTGCTATGGGTTAAATGTTACCCCCAAATTTCATGTGTTGGAGACTTACCCCTCATTGTAACAGTGGTAAGAGGGTAGGAAACCCTCTTATGACATTTGAAAGGTGGGGCCTTTGAGAGGATTGTGAGGACTCTGTCCTTATGAATAGATTAATCCAATCACGGGTTAATGCATTAATGGTTTAGTGGGTTATAATGGGTGCGGACTGGTGGCTTTATAAGGAGAGCACACGAGAAGCTCTTGCCATTCTCACCATGTGACACTCTGGTCACCATGGACCCTGTAGAGAGTTCTCACCCAGAGGAAGGTCCTCACCAGATGCACCTCCCTGGACCATGGAATTTCCAGCTTCCAAAACTAAGAAATAAATTTCACTTTCTTATAAATTACCCAGTTTCAGATATTCTGTAATAAACGACAGAAAACAGACTAATACAGTGGTTCCTCAAAAAATTAAACCTAAGAGTTGCCGTATGACCCCACAACTCCATTCCTAGGTATCTTCCCAGGAGAACTGAAATATATGTTCACACAAAAACTCGTACCTGAATATCCATTATTCATAATTGACAAAAAGTAGAAACAGCCCAAATGTCCATCGACAGACGAAACCTGTCAAACGTTCGTCCATGCGATGGAACATTGTAGAAAACGGAACGAAGCGCAGCTACAGGCCGCGGCCTGGAGGAGCCCAAAAGCCTTACGGGAAGCGAGAGCAGCCAGGAAAGCCACTTGCAGGAAATATCCCGAGTAGGGAAACCAGAGATAGAAGGTGGCTTAACGGTCATCAGGAGTCGAGGGGAGGTGCTGAGGGCTGGTGGCTGATGGGTACAGGGCTTCTTTGTCAGGGGGACGAAAACGTTCTGGAGTCAGACAGTGGTGATAATTGCGCAACTCCAAATGTACCGAAAACCACTAACGACAGGCGTAAAGTGGCAAATTTTGTGTTATGCGAATTATCTCAGGGAAGAGAGCGAGGAAGAGCAGCTGGAGGCCCCTCGAGGTGGCCGGCTTCACGCCTGCAGCCCCAGGCGGTCTTAGGAGCGACGGAGAAGCCGCAGTCACTGCTGCCCACTTCGTGCCACACCGCCCAGCTGCCCTTGCCACCAAGGTTGTGTGAAGTAGCCCAGAGAGAGTAACTCGCAGAGTTAGCTTCGCCCATCGCGAATGACCCTCGAATGGGGAAGTCCTCCTCTGCGTGTGGCGGCAGCTGCCGCGACAGGAGACCTGCCCCTTTCTTGTCGCCCTACCTAGGTCAAGGATCTGTAACAAAGTCTTGAAGTTTCACGTTGTGGTTGTTGTTGAAGCTGGGCCTACAACCTGCCCCGATGGCGAGGCTGCCTCCGAGAGACCCGTGCGGGTGGGTTTCCTGCTGGCGCTCTGCTGGCAGCTACCAGCTAAGTTTATAGAGAAACTTGCAGAGTTTTGTTCAAAACATACGTGAAGACACACATGCTTGAGTGCAGTCACACACACACTCTGAGGACAGCCGGCAAAGCTTGTGCCCAGCCCAGCCCAGCTGGGAACACACACGCACGCACGCTCCCTAAGGGAATGTGACTCTTGGCTCCCGACCCGACTGCCCCTGCCCCTGCCCCCAGCTGGCGTGGACAGCGGACGGACCGTGAAGGTGGTGAAGACCCAGTCTCTGGGGAGGCCCTTGGTCTTTCTGAAGTTGTCATTGATGTAGCGGTTGAGGTGGTCCATGCTCCACACTGTGTCCTCCTTGAGCAGCACATACAGGGAACTCTTCTTCTGCATGAACTGGTTGGTGGGGGGGCATGTGCAGTGCCTGGAGACCACCACTCCAGGATGCCCAGAGGTCCTGCCCTCACTGAGGGCCCCCTAAAGAGAGCCTCACCCTAACCCAGCTACCCCCGGAGATGCCCCACTCCCGTCAGGTCTGCAGTGATCTGCCTGCATAGACCCCCCCCCAAATACCTTCATCCACTGTGACCCCCTCAGTCATCAAGTCCCCCACAGATTCTCATGGAGGAGCCCCTGCCCTGGATTCTTCCCATGAAGACTGTTCCCTAGAGACCTCTGCCCACAGAAGACCACTGAGGTCGTCACAGACCCTCCTCGGCTCCTGCCCCCAGCCCTACCCCATCCATAGCACACCCAGTGGGAGCCTAGTTGGGGCCTGGGAGATGCAGGGCCCTGAGTCATTTCACCAGGACACAGGGTCCCTGCTATGCCCATCTTCTGCCATGGCTGAAAGTGAGAAGCTAGAGGCAATGCCCACTGTAGGCAGTGCCAGCCCAGGTCATCTCCAGGCCCAGGCCACGTCTACAGCTGGACCCTTCTGCATTCCCAAGCTGTGACAGCCTTCCTCTAATCTCATCCTAAGGCTGCAGGGAAGGCCCTCATGTGGAGCGCCCTTACCTGGTTAGTCAAATGGATACTGAGGTCACTGGAATGGGGGTCATAGAGGCTGAGGGTGAGGCGGGCATAGCCATGGCCAAAGAAGACCATGTAGGGCATGGTGCAGGCGATGAGCAGGTAGGAGCGCACATCAAACTTCTTCCCGTCCAGCAGCAGCGGGTTCTGGATGTACCTGGGGAGGGGGGGGCATCACCTGGGTGCTGCCGGGGCTGAGCTGTATGGCCAGCCTGGTCTGCATCCCCTCGCCCCCACCTGGCCTGGCCATTCCTGCCATCTGTCCCAGGTGTGACCTCTGGGTGTGCACAGTGTCCATGGTGAGGGAACATTTCTGAGACTGAACAGGTCAGGGCAATTGGGAAGAGACTGGCTCCCAGATCTCAGCCCCACTGCATGTGTTCCAGGCACCCCAGGGTGCAATTCTAAGTAGGAACCTAGAGGGTGGGAGCAGCTTGGGTCCCCGGAGCAGGGAGGGCTGCCTAGAGGAGGAAGGAAGCTGATGGCTTTGGGGAGGAAGGGAGAGAACATTCCAAGTGCAGGGACCTGTGGGTCTAAAGACCCAGGGCAGGGAGCAGCCGCTTGGGAGGGGCCGATGGAAAAGGCTGGACAGCAGACAGCGTCTGTGGCCAGGACGGGGTCCAGTGGTGGAAGGTGAGGTCCGGCGGGACCTTTCTGAGGCCAGACCGACCTGCCCACTCCTGTACTAGGCCTAGGGCCTGGGCCCCGCCTGGAGGCGGACAGAGCCGTGGGGCATTTCTGAGCAAGGTGGGAGTGGTCAGCCCTGGGCTGCAGGCTTGAAGCCTGTGGCTGGCGGGCTGGGCTGAGGAGCCCAGGCCGGGCCTCCTGCAGGGTAGCGGNGGGGCCGGCGCAGTGGCCCCGGGCGGGTCCAGACCTCTGACCGGAGCTCACGCCTCGTTCTAGACTGGGGATGCCCTGGGTCCCCTTTTGCATCGGTCACCAGCCCGTCCTTCAGTGTAGGCCGATTATAAGGGCATCTACCTCTGCGGCCCGAGGCGTCCTGAGTTGGTCCATGTGAACTCATCAAGGGTGGGTCCTGTGTCCTTTCCAAACCTGCACCCCAGGGGACACAGTCTGGCCTGAGTCGCCGTTCAGCAGTGTCTGGCGAGATGGGGGACGGGCGTGAGCAGACAGGCGGGTGTGTGGGTGGGCGGGTGGCCAGACGGATGCCGGAGCTGCTGCTGGAAGCAGGTGTGCTGGGAGTGCACAGCGGGACACATAGATGGGAAGATGGCATCGTGGGCGACCCGGGGGTGGGTGGACACGGCTGCGGCCTGCTTGGTGGGTGGGTGGATGGGGGCACATGAATACAGGAGCAGCTCAGGTGCAGCGGTGCGGGGGATGCGTGTAGACAGATGTGGGAGAGGGGACGGTGGCCGGTGTTGAGCCAGCATGACTGCACACGGACGGGACACCTGTGGGTAACTGTGGGGGTCTGGTGTGAGGACTGCTGGGGGGCAGGTGGGGGATGGTGCATGAAAAGTAGGATGGGTGGGCAAGGGGTGGATTCCACAGAGGGTCAGGGCCATGGACGGGAGCGCACATGGTGGAGTGGCTGCGTGGGGGAGGAATGGGTGGGTTTATGGAGTGGGTGGGCAGTGGGG